TTAAAAATTGTCAAAGTTGAAATTTATAATAAAAACATAGTAAGTGGACTCAAACTTTTGGAAGCAACTGTATATATAGTATTAATAATAAAATATAAATAAGTTTTAATTAATTTTTTTTTTTTTTTTTTTTGAAATGGTAACTTAGCCTTGTTTTATTAAAGTTTCAAGTCAGGACAAAATATAGATAAAACACTTCTAGAATTGTTTATAAAAGTTAAAATTTTACGTTACTACTATCACATTGATTTCATAAGCTGATTACTCTTCAAGGACTTCATCAATTGAGGGTGTACTGTCTGTTCCGTAGCTACTTTCAGTATTTCTATATTGTGAAATTCTAATTGCTTCAATCCACATGATAACTTGTTATCAGAAAGAATTACTCAGATTAATCTAATTCACATATCAAAAAAGAAGATTTATTGATCCTTCTAGATTCTCCTTAACATATATGCTCAAGTGAGACATGTTATCCCAAAAGAAAAAATTTGATTCCCTTATATCTCACCTGCCATAAAACCCAATTCTGTCATGTGGACTTTGTTTTGAATTTTTACTTATTCGATAGAGCTGAAGAAGAAACCTACTCAATGGCCAGGGATAGATAACTATAATTATAAAATTCAATTATAGTATCTTATGACCTTTACCATAATCAAATGGATTCTTTCTTGAAGGAATCAATGATGTAAATAGAGAGGTGTCCTATATCCACCTGCATTCAGATCAATGACTTATGATAGACCCCAGGTTCTTATGGAACTGAGGAAATGCATTCAGACACATGAGATGACCAATAGAAGCTTGTTTATATTTTTTTATTAATGTGAGTTCTATTTATCCAATTATGATACAAGAAACTTTGTGCTACTTAAAATTTGGGATCAAACTGAGATAGGCAAAATTCTTTAGAAAAAATCAAGAATAAGTACTATAAAAAGCTAGACAAATAATAAGAGAGTGGGAAAGTTGTCTCTCATCATTTACAGATTTTTGTGATATTTCTCTACAGTATAAGATGATGGCATATTAGTTTTTCTTCCTTTCAAAACTTTCTTGTCACTGATAGGAAAGGTTTTTTTTTATCTTTATAGTTATTAGAAATCAAGTTTTTATTTGAAGAGGATAGTAAGCAAAAGAAGAGGAAGTAGTTGATGATTCTTGAAGTTTCTTCAAATTGATTTAAGAAAAGTAGTAAGACTTTATTAGCTTAGAAGTATAAAAACTTCTTGTGAATATCTTTTTTGTATATTATCAGAGGATCAGTGAAAAGAGTTTTTGATAAGTTTTAATTAATTATAACATAAGTTTTAATAATATTATTAATAAAAGAAAATATTAATTGTATTTTATTTTTATTCTATTTTTTAGTTGAGTTAATATATGTTTTAAGTTTATAAAATTAAAAAAATTTGAATAATAAGTTTTCAAGTAATAAAAAAGTTGCAATTTTTGAATTAAGATTTTTCTTTTCTTATTCTAATTAAATAAAATTTTAATAATATCTTTTTTTTTATTATAATTAGATCTTATAATAATAAATTTTTTACATAAATATAATATAAACATTTTTAATAAGCAAGATTCAATAGATAATATAGATAAAAAAATTAAATTAAAATAAATATTTCAAATAATTAAAAAAAAAAAGAATATTTTAATAAAATATTTCTTATTGAAAAAAAGATCTTAGAAAACGGATTTTGAAAAAAGTTGATAAATTTTTCTTTTAATTTTTTTTTTTATAATATATTTGTATATTTTTAGATACTCTTTTTTTTTTTATAATTTAATTTCTTTTATAATTTCTTGTATTTCAATAACTTGATAGAATATATAGTAGTAATAACCTATTATGCAAAATCCAAAATTTTTATTACAGCAATATAACCAAAGAATATTATAAAATAATAATAATATGTAATATTTAATTTTCAAATCAATATACTATACAGTATATTGATTGAAAAAAAAAGACAAGTTTAATGCCGTGCAAAATATAATTATTAACATAAAAATAGTATTATAGCACATGGATTATAAGTTCTCAAACATGTTAGCCTCACTTCTTTGCTTTTATTGAATCGCTCGGAAATAATGATTCAATATTGATAATAATCGGGTTCAAAACTAGTCGATTTCATGGCGGTCTTACATTCGTCCTTCCATTCCAAAATCTCATCAATGATGTCTTTTGCCTGTTGCAATTGATTTTTTAGCCATTTAATATTTGCTTCCTTATGTTTTGCTATGTTCGTATTAGGCAATACTGATTTCAACGCTTGGTCAACTTTCTCTTCGTATTCATCTCTAAAAAAAATATATATATATATATATAAATTTAGATAACGAAAAAGAATACAATAAGTTGTATGAAACTGACTTTAGTTTGTCTTCTAATTCTAATAACTTTTCAAGCTTCATATTATCTATGCGGCGATCATTAATTGCTTTTTTTAACTTGTATTTTATTGTGTCCATTTCATTCTGCAGCTTAGTTAGTTTTACGATTATGTCTACCGTCGGGCCTTTCAACAAAATATTGTATTTAAGCACTACCCTTTTTCCCTTTTGTCTTACAACAGCTTTCCAGTGCAATGAATTTCGACAGAAGCCAAGCATTTCGTTGTAAATTCTGCTCAAAGTTTGATCATTATAGGACTTACGAGACTTTTGTCGTTCGTAGATTCGTCGGAACCAGATTTGAATCTTTGCCGCTGCCTCACGGGCCTTGGGTGAAAGTTGAATTTTGAGGAACCGGGACTGCATTTCAATGGTTGTCTCTTGAACCATATTGAGATCTATAGATTGCTCATCTTCATCACCAACAAAAGAAATGGCCATTGGGGTTTCATTTTGTTCATTAATTTCCGATTGTTTCGTCAAGGATTGATTTTCCGGAGCAGTAGCAATCCTTTCTTCAGTTGAAGACATCATCCTCCGGAGGGAAGAATGGAATCCCTCGATAGAGTTATAAGAAAGTTTTGTAGTGCCATACTTTTCAAAGACAGAGAATCTTGATTTTCCGCCACAGTCGTAATAAACATTAACAAGGGAATCACAGCCTGTCTCTTTGAGATCATTGATTAAAATTTCCCAAAGTCTTCCCGTATTTTTTTCCACGATGTACTTATAATTTTTAAATCGAGGTTCCTTGGTCAAATATCTAAATAAATTTAAGACCCTTGAGATCAAAGTGGACTCATTCAAACCTATGAGGACTAGGAGTCGTATTAGCCGAAGAATGACATTTGGATATTTCGTGTCTTCGTGAAGCAACAATCGTTGCGTTTGATTTAATAAGGTCTCTATTGCACCGAGAAAATCTGTTCTATGGTAACCGGCATGACTCGGGAGGAGTGACTTCACATTAAATGCATTGAAATAACTAAACAGGTAAGCTCGAGGGAGGCAAAAGTCACAAGTCCCAGGAGAATTCGCAAGAATTAGAAATAACGTGAATTCCATAAGAGACACAAGGTCCCCAAAAGCATGGATTTCAACAATACTGACTAACCGAATATTTTCTATGGCATACTGAATGAACACTCTTGCATTTGAGATTGCTTCCTTCACTTTATTACCACGTGAAAACAAGAAAAATGACGAAAGTCGTCTTCCAACAGGGATCGCTTGGGAACTTCTATCATTGAGTTCAAAGCCAACAGGTAAACTTTTAGAGCGATAAAGCCTTTGTGTTCTTGACATCTCCCAATGAAATTTATTGATTCCCCAGTAATCCCGCAGCTGTTGAAGAACGAATATGCATTTTAACATTGTTCCAAAGTCGCCAACGTTCTTGAATATAGAATTTAACCATATCCTGTGGGCAAGGCTAATAAATCCAGTACGCACGATCTTAGGAAGTTTAGTAAGCATCATGTGAGTAATTTCTGAACAGCTTGTTTGTGGTGTTTGATAGCGAATGTGGGCTTCGACCAATTTTTCGGCCCAACATCTTTGGAATCTAAGCACAAGTTTACTTTGTTCATCTTTGGGTAAAACACGGCGACGGTATAAGATGTCTAACTGTCGCATCACATTATATTGAAGGAACCCAAGTTCCAGGCGTTGGCATATAACTGATGGTGTAGGAATAGCATGATAAAATGAACATTTCTGACGACAGGATACCGAATTAGAACATATTATTGACGTGATGTTAGGAATATTTAAACCCTTCCGGTGGGCTTCTTCGATGAGCTCGAATATATATGAAGCAAGGAATCGCGAAATTTTCCAGTGCACAATATCCACGTCATATACGTGTCGATCATCTATAATTTCTGCAGGATCCTTTCCGGGATTCTCGTCTTGCATTTCGTCCATGAAATGAATGAGTGGACTGTCTAAGTGAATTCTTCGTTCCCGCGGGCGGCCATCCACTACACTTACAAAAAGGATTTTTTCAAAATCATCGCGAATTTTTTCTACGTTGCCATCTCGACGAGGAACTATTAAAGGAAAGGTTATTTCACATAGTCTAAGTAAGCACTGCAACCGTTCGCGCCAATACTTGATCTCAATATTTGATCGCATGTGAAGCCACACATTGATTGCATAGAATTCAGAGGCGAGATCTTGACGTTCCCTGAAGAATTGCATGCATTCGCGGACCTTGTCAAGGTCATTATTCAAATAATTAATATATAACTGAAATTCATTTTTCAAAGTTATCTGCTGTTTTGATAGGATTTTTTTTTTGATAACACCGTGCACTTTATAAAGGAGGCTGCGCAATTCCGGTAGATGGTTCGGACTACTAATATTCGAAATAGTGTTTTTCAGCACGTTAGCCCTGCATAAATGCAAAAAACATTCTAATGACTCAATGATATCGTCCTTGTCATTGGAGTGGGTGAACATATGAGCAGCCTTTTCAAATTCTCCCTGAGAGCGTAAATATTTGGCAGCAATGCGAAACTCGCTGCTCTTCTCGCAAACCTTCAAAAATTCGTTTGGTGCATGGTCCTTCAAGAGCTCAGCTTGTTCTTCTTGCGACAAGAGGGAAAGGGCTTTCTTGCTCATCTCTTCTTTACCCTCCCGGATAAAATGAATATTGATAAGTCGGGCAAGACGGTAGAAGGTGTTTTTTTCAATTTCTTGCCTGTGTCTTGTATTGCAATAATTTACAATGGTGTCAGATTATGCTACGTAATGAATACTTTGCAAACAGTATTAATGATATTTTGGTAAGTTCACCTTTTCATCAGATCGATTACCGTTTCATAGTCGCCACCATCTTTATAAGAAACAACCGCCTTTGTGTATTTATTCGCTTTTTCATAATACTCACCCGCCTTGCGCCAGATCTTGCCCTTATGGTAGCAATCTGCAGCGGGCTCAAACATCTTCCATTCGACGAGAACGTCACCCGCTTCTTCATACATATTGACACTCTGAAATTTGATTTTTGTGTGAGCATAAAGATCCAATTTATATACACCATCGATCTTACCATATAGCATGAAGCCGCCTGAGTTGGTCGAGAGCATTTTATAAATTGCAGAGCGGCGCTAATAAAGTTAGATTTTACAACCTCTTCGTCAGAGTCATATATTGAGTCCCTGGCAATTTGTTGAAGATAATAGGCGTTGGACAGGTCGAGTTTCTCTTTGTTTTCACTTTTTTCAAAACAGAAAATCGCCTAATGATAATGTTCATTTTATTTGGCCCGTTGTTATACCGTAACCCCGAATCAACTATATTTACAAACCTGGTCATACAACCGCTGTTCGAAGAAACTTTTCCCCCGTTTTTCCCATTCGCTTGTGCTACTCTTCTTTGCCAAGGTAGGGAAAACAGAGAGTTCGTCCGCACCCTTGACAACCTTGACCAGACCGTGATACTTCCAATATGTTCGGATTGGTTCACTCAACTCGGCATTCTCGTCGAATATCCAGATTCGCTCTCGGGCTCTGGTCACCGCAACATAGAGATGTTTTAGTTCCGAGGAAATGATGTAATGCTTTTCTACAGAGAAGGTCTGGATTCCCCCTGAATAATTACTCAAGACAGAAAGAATCACCCGCCACTGATAATAACCAACGAGCAACTTTTAGTGTACGGCTCTTACATAATGAGTTAGAACGGGATATTTCGCCGTCATACCTTTAGGAGCGCGGGAGAATCGGTGAAAAAATTATACAAGAGCACGTCGTTGAACTCCATGCCCTTTGCCTCAAAGACTGTCAGCACCAAGCCGACTTTTCCGATTAGAGCTCTTACACGTTTTTTAGCTTCATCATCACGTACGATAATGACCTGATCCGCGCCGAATTCAGAATGATTACCAGCAGAGAAGGCACTAAAGTGGAATTTTTCAGCATGAAATCCCTCGAAAATGATAGGCCGCGGACCGCCAACCTCACCCATCTCACGGGGCATTCGATCGATGGAATCGGGAAAAAAGTTTCGGATGAGATCGATCACGGATGCGGCAAGTCGGAGGATCCCGTTATGAGAACGGTAGTTTGTATTAAGCTCAAATCTTTTTGGTTTTATGAACTTGTAAGGTCCATTATTAGCTTGGGTCCGACTGAGCTCCCATTGGTAGAGCAGTTGATTTACATCTACAGTCGAATTATTAGAAGCCTTTTAGAGAATAACAGGGTCACGCTCTTGACAATTGAATAAGACGTGCACATACCTTGGAAACGGAAAGAGGATCCGCGGGCAATACATTGTGCTATATCGCCTGCTAAGAAAACACCCTCAGAGCGTTCAAAGAGTTTTAAAACAAGTGCGATATCCACAACCTGGTTGTCTTGACATTCATCAACATATACTTCATGAATTTGGTGACCACCAATTGCCTTCTTTTTGGCACAACGCAAGGTGGCTAGCGTTCTACGAAGAATAATGAATTTTAAAGAAATCCATTGGAAAAAAAACCAATTTATCTATTCTCGAGTCCTACCGATCCATCAAATCATAATCGTGATTCAATATCTTCATGCGTTCATATCGCTCGAATATGTCATAAATCATGTCACGGTCGTAAAATATTGGGTGTTTTTTAATGTTGACGGCTCGATAATCCTCTCTTGATAAATGGTCCACATCAGGATTCGAACCCTGGAGAGGGTTTTATAAAAAAAAAAAAGAAGGTAAATAAGCGATTTTTACAGGATTGTTTTTATAAAGCTACTTACTTTGATAATGGAAAATTCGGAGTAAACCAGGGCGCAATCTAACTTCTTTCGACTAATATGAGGCCAATACTTTTTTTGGAAGAGACGAAAATCCACAAAATGTCTCCACGACTCATCGGACGTATCTGCAAAAGAAATTTTAGGAGGAATAAATTCCTCGCCCTCATTAGTATCGTCCGTAATAAACTTTTGATATTTGGCCGTCCATAACTTGGAAACGTCAATGCCATAGGTTCCCTCGAGCATTTTGGAAAACTTTCCGTATGTGATAAACAGCGGAAAATGGTGTTCCGATAACTGATCAAATGAATTCGGGATATCTCCCAACACTTTTTCCTCATCATCTTCTTCGATCAACTCGATATCCGGCTGATCGAGATCACCGCTTTCCTCTCTCTCCTTCATGTATTCATAGAACTGAGTTAATGACATCTTCTTGCCCGCGAGTACTGCTGATCTTCGCAATTGGTTAAAATATTGCTTCACCCGAAGGCACAGAGTGGGGCTCACGGTGATGAATATCTGTCTCCTATGATGCGAGGAAGGAGTCTTATGTATTTTGCAACTGAGTTCTTTCAAGTATGAAGCAATCAACCTAAAGATAATGCACGTTGTTTTCCCTGTCCCTACGTAATTAATGTAGAATAAAAATAGACAACTTCAAAAGTTAAATTGCAAAGTAATTAAGATTTGAATAGTTTAAAAGCATCTTCGAGATCAAGATACCAACCAGATCGACCAACGATGATAGCCGATTTAGGATGGTTGATGATCTCGTATTCAGTTTTAGACACCTGGAAGGTGAAGTCAGATCCTCCGAGGACGAGTGACTTGAACAAATTCTGCATGCAAGATTGTTAAAACGTTGTTTTTACATTTTAACGTAATACATGAATATTTATATTATACCTTCGATAAGGGGATAAATTTATTTGTAACGAGCATCTTGTGAACCTTTAGCAGTCTTTCATCATCTGCCTGTTGGTCACACAGCCTGTCGTCAGCAGACTTCACCTCATCATCCTCAAAAACTCTAGGAAAAACAATTTCATTGTTGCCCGTTGCACATTGTTGAATGTGCACAGGGGTGTAGACCTGGTGAACCATCTCAAGATTCTTTAACGTCTCGCAGATCTGTTCTTGGTTGGCAGTAACGGTCCAGATTCTCACCAGCTGCTTGAATGATTGGCTGCGAGTGGAGAACCCGCGGTCAACCTGCCAGAAAATTCTCAGTTCATCTTGTTCGGGAAGTAGTATTTCGTAGACATCTACAGAATTACTGCTTGAAGGATTGGCGATCGTACATCGGAGCCCGTGTCGATCCCACGCCCCGGATGATATATGCCCGAGCTTTTTCATAACTGCTTTGGTCTTCAGAGGTGACTCCAATTGCCGCATATCTTTAACCGCGTCTTCGCTGAGCAGAACATCCCACGGTCCGAGCTTATCATCATTGCTGAATTCGAATGGAAGTCGGAAAAGGTTTTCGGATGATGTGTAATCCATCGATTCCTCCTCAACAGAATATTTTTCAGGGGAGAAATATACAAGAGCGTGATCGTGACAGCTTGAGCATGGCAAGAACTTCATCAAATCCTAGGTAAGATTGAAAGACTTGTCAGTTTACAAATTATCCTGAATCCAGGATTCTATTATGTTGAAATAAATGAGAAAGAATGAAATCCCTTACTCCGAGTAAATTTATCTTCTGTTGTTCAAGAGTTCGTAAAAAGTTTGTTAACTCTGATAGCTTCTGAGGAGCCGTCATTCCTAACAAGGAGAGGTGTTGTTCATCTCGAGTTGAAAAAGGCGGCAAGTTTTTAACAACCACCGAGTTACGAGTGTTTTGTTCTCTATCTCGGTCTTGTTTTTCACTGCTTCTTTTTTTTTCATGCTTAACCATCTCCCCTAGTGTTGGCAGGACCAAATTTTTTTTGGTGTTTAGAATGGCGCGTTCGGCACTTTGGTAACTGTTCAATGTTTCTGATAGTTCAGTGCAAGCCTTGTACATGAAAAGTCGCTCTGATAACTGAGATGGGGCATTCGCGTGTACAGAACATTTGTCCACGAGAGATGAAATCACGTCCGCGGCCCTAAGCAACTTGTCTCTCTCAATCCGATTAATCATGTTAAAATCGAAGAGGACACGTTTGAGACAATGATGACCAAAGGCTTCTGATATCAAAATACCGAAGACACCATGGGCATCCAGAATTGCATCAAATAGACGGTTTATTGCTTGGACAGCGATCTTCTTATCACAAGTCTGCCAAAGGAGCTCGATACAGTAATATAGGAGCTCCCCGAAACCGGAGGTATCGAAGTAGCGCAAGTTGCGCGCGATGACGACATTGATTAGAATCGAGGCAAAGTCAGAAGTTGAAGATCGATTACGAGGGTAAGAAAGGTAATTTATCAAAGCCGGAAGGTAGGTGTCGAGAGAGTGGGGTAGGAGGTCCGAGAGCTCATTAAAAAAATCATCGAGCTCTCGAGTTGACGCATTAAGACAACCGTCAAAGAGAGCGTCACGAGCCTTTCCGTCATTATCTTGAGAGCTCGCGAAGTCATCAAAAAGCTCGATTAATTGTTTACCATCCATTATGCACTCGCCTTTCAATTTGCTATGCAAGGATAGTTGTTATACACTCGAAACGATATTTCCAAATAGTAAGATTATTTCTCTTAATTAATGCTTGCGAATATATTATTTACACGTCGCCTTCGCGCTTTTACCCTATTATTGTTATTTACTACACTGCTTTCGAAAAGTGGTAGAGAGACAGTCGAAAACAATCAATTAATGCAGAATGAAATCTGAATTCATTTGTGACTAGAAAAAAAAGAGAGGGTGGGAAACGCGAGTTCTTCGGAAAAACTGGAATTTATCAGTTCCCATATTTGGGTACAATTTATCTCACGTGTGAATATTAAGGGGAAAAAGATATTTTGATTTTAGCAAATGATTTACTTGTAAAGGTTGGAAACCAGGCATTTTATATTCCATGAATAAGCAACCACTTTTTGCAAACAATATTTTAATTCAATTGCCGGATAAATTAGGGCTCTCTGAAACAATAAGATTCTTTAAAAAAATGTTCTATAGAATCGGTGGCTAAAGAGTGACATGGTGTACATAATTGCCATTCTTTCTTTCTGCTAGTCAGATGTCTGACTTTTACATTAGGAATTGCTTTAGCATTCTTTTCTTGCCAATTTACTTAATAGAACTATAGATTTTTATAACTAACTTTCACCTTTTTTTTATTTTTCTTTTCTTTTTTTTTTTTGTCGACTGAGTTTCTGTAATTTGTTTTTCTGATTTACGATTTTTGTCTCTCACGATGATACCATTCTTCATAACTCTTAGAGTTAAATTAACTATCACATCTCCTGTCATCATGATGTCACTCCTAGGAACCATTGTGAGATGGATCATCCTTTATTTTATCGACTGCGTAGCCTGATTCGCAAGTTCTTTATCTGTTTTCAACTACCGATTTCTATAATGTCTGACGCTGATTTCTTGATTGCAGTTTTAATAACTGGTTTGTTCTATCACTCGCTTATATAAACAATTACAAGTGTAAATGTAGTATCCTATCTTCTTTCGCTTTTCAATTCTTCCTGTTGTGCTTTATATCTGCTCATGCTTTAAAAGAATTTAATATAAAGGCATGTTTATCAATATAAACAAACAATATACCCGTATAGAAAAAAAAATCACGCCGGAGTTATAAAAATCTCCTTAACTCATCATATTTACCACCGTACGATCTCCTATTGCTTCTTTATGCCATTCCGTGGAATTTAGATCTATAAGAATTACAGTATTATTAGAATCCACAGTAGACACTACCAGTGCTTATTTATGGACCATATCAGTGGATGCTTATTTATGGACTATATAATTTAATTAATACTAATATGTGTTAGCATATAAATACGTGTACAGTCGACCGTAAATCATCGTTACTTTTGCGGTTGACTGTACGCGTATAAATCAGATTGTGACGTATTGTGTGCATTTTTGATAAAAATGACTTCTACCACAAAAATGACGTACGCCGAACGAATCAAAAATTTTACCAACAAAACAGCTCGTGAACTGTTCGAGACAGTGGAACGCAAAAAAACAAACCTCGCTCTCGCTCTCGACGTAACCAACAAACGGGAGTTTCTCGATATAGCTGATAAAGTCGGCCCTTATATTTGCTGTTTAAAAGTGAGCATGGCAATATATAATAATAGAGTGATGAAATTTTAATTAAAAAAGCAAAGAAACAGATCTAATCCGTTCGTTCTTTTTTTTTTTTAAGACACATATTGATATCCTGGTAGACTTTGATGACGAACTCATTGAGCAACTTAAGAAACTCCAAACCAAACATTCTTTTATGATCTTCGAGGATCGAAAATTTGCCGACATTGGTTGCGTCCAAAAGCTTTTTTTCTATTTTGGCAGGTGCGCAATATATCAAACTTCCATTTTGATCAATACCATTCATTCATCATTAGGCAACACGGTGAAGCATCAATATTCGCAGGGTATCTACAAAATCTCCGAGTGGGCTGATATCATTGATGCCCACAGTCTACCGGGCGACGGGATCGTAGCCGGATTGAAAGAAGTTGGTTTTCCCTTAGGTCGTGGATTACTGCTTCTCGCTGAAATGTCGTCTAAAGGAAGTTTGGCTACGGGGTCATACACGAAAGCTACCATGGAAATGGCACTGAGGCATAAGGATTTCGTGATAGGATTTATCGCAGGTGGAAAATTTTCGATAAACGATGATCAGGATGATTTCATTATTATGACACCAGGAGTAGGGTTGGACGTTTCCGGAGATGGACTTGGTCAACAGTATAGGACACCAAGAGATGTGATCATCGAAGGCGGTAGTGATATAATCATTGTGGGACGGGGAATATATGGAAGTGGCAGGGACGTGATAGCGGAAGCCCGACGTTACAGGGATGCAGGGTGGAGCGCATACGAAGAGAGAATAGAAAAAAAATAGATAACCTTTTTCGCACCAATAAACACAGTCCCGTCACATGACTTTGCGATTAAAAAAAAATTTAAAAAAAGTTATATGTGCCTCTTACCGATCTATTTAATATCTAAAAATGTCTGATTACTTTACATTTAATGATCCCCTTGGTTTGATCTTACACCCCGAGTCGAGCAAAGAGGAACAAGGAAATTGCGATGATCCACGTAAGCTTGTTTTTCCTTTTAGAATTCGTTAACGTGACCCCGTTCACATACGTCAAAACAAATATAGGCAAAAAAAAAAAAAAGAAGCTAAACACTTGTTTCTTTTTCTTTTGTTTATTTATTCTCTCTCTATTTTTTTTTTTTTTTTACTCATAAAAACCGTCTTTAGCAAACGAATCACCGAATCCTTCGAATTTGGGCACCAAAGCTTGTCAAATGTGTTACAGTAATGAGTGGAAATATAAATGCCCAAAATGCGAATTTCGGTCATGTTCTCTAAAGTGCACGAAAACACATAAAGAAAAGTACAACTGCGACGGGATTAGGTCGAAAACTAGTTATATCCCGCAGAAAGAATATGGGTATCAGGAATTGATGAGCGGTCAGTGCTAATCAATTTTTTTCAGGTCATCTTTCCCAATAGTTCCGTGGAAAATAATGTTCGTCTTCATAGATTACGTACTACTTGAAGACGTATCACGTGCAATCGACTCTGCCCATCGAGTCAGAATTGATCAAAAACATATTGCATTTAAAATCAAGAAAAAGTACAATAGGAATTTTGAAAAACGGAGATTATCAAAACCGCATAAAAGACACATGATAACAGAGGAACAAATAGATACCTAGCCAAACTTTTTTGCACGTGGACCACGAACAAGGAAATCTTGTTCTCACGAAACGCCGATTGTAACTCGCTATTTATTCCATGTATAGTTATCATTTATTAATTTGAATAATAATAAATTTTTAGCTAATTGATTTCCGAATGCTCAAATTTTGTATTGGTAATATAAATGTTTAGGAAACTTGATTTTCTGTCTGTTTTACATTTCTCGTAAAATAATTTATGGTTAAATTTATTGTAGGTTATCTATGATATGATTAGTGAATTCGGTGTTCGTCGCATTACCCCCTAGATCACGAGTTAGATGCTTGCCTTCGGCGATCGACCTGAGGACCGCCGGTTCGATGGAGTCAGCGAACTCGTTTAAGCGCATGTGACGAAGCATCATTATTGACGAAAGTAAAAGCGCCGTTGGGTTGGCCAAGTCTAAGAGAATACAAAACATTATTAATGATTTTGGTCGTGACAACGAATGAATTTATCACTGCCAACCTTTCCCGGCAATGTCAGGAGCGGTTCCGTGGACAGCTTCAAAAATTGAAGCGTCACTGCCAATATTTCCAGAAGGTGTAAGTCCCAATCCACCAATTAATCCTGCACACATGTCCGACAAAATATCTCCGTATAGATTGGGCATAACCATTACCGTATCAGAATAGCGAGCAGGATCTTGGACGATCTTTATTAAAATGGCAAGGTTAATTAATTAATCGAATGAAATTAATATAAAAACTTCGATAATATAAATGATGTGGATGAAATATTTACGTGAAGACAGGCACGATCCAATAGCACGTCGTCGAACTCGATGTCAGGGAAGTCTTGCGCTACTTCCTGACAAACGTCCAAGAACAGACCATCCGATAATTTCCTATAATGTGCTTGGAGTTAGAATTTGCCTCCCACATACACCAGTGAAGTTCGCATATCACCATGCCTACATGATATTGGCTTTGTGTATAGCCGTGACTCGGTTTCGACCAATGCTTCTCGAGTATGCAAAAGCGTAACGAGCACATCTTTCCGACGCTTCTTTGGTAATTAACTTGATGGATTGAACAACGCCATCAACAACCTTGCAAATCAAAGAAGTTCGTTAAAATACGTGTATTTCGTATTATTTTTTAAGAGAAAGATTGCGGTCCAATGAATCATTACCGTGTGCTCAATACCGGAATACTCGCCCTCTGTATTCTCTCGGATTAATACAGTGTTAACATCATCATAAGGGGTTTTATATCCGACCACCGACTTACATGGTCGAACGTTAGCGAAAAGATTGAATGTGCGGCGTAGCGTAAGGTTAAGTGAAACATGACCTTTACCAATAGGGGTTGCCAGTGGACCTGTTTTTAAATAGTAAATTTGGTCATTTCTTTCTGAGCCTAAAGTTGTCTCGCATGATTTCCGTACCCTTTAATGCTATTTTATTTCTCTTCACCGAGTGTAGCGCCTCATCAGGAATAGCGGTCTTTCCCTCCTTTATAACTGGTGTAACACTTACTTCCTCCCACTCAATGGGAACCTGAAAATTTTACGCAAGGGATGAAACAAGCAAAGCAAAAACTCGTTATTACTCTTGAAAATGCATTCGTAGAAAAAAAAAAGAGAAATAGGAAAATTCTTGAATCTTTCCACAAACTAACTACACGAATAGCTTCGAACTACTGAAGCTTAATGCGGTATCTTACTTTGGCAGCTTGATATATCCGTTTTACTGATTCAGAAATCTCTGGACCGATGCCGTCGCCGGGTATGAGTGTTACAACATAATTTCCCTTTGATGGCGCCCCATAACAAAACGAGTTAGAATTCAAGCTTATGGGAAGAATGAGCAAAGTAAAAAAATTTACATTAGCATTCCTCGATGCCTCATATGATCCGGTTAAAGAATTCTCGGAGGAAAAAGATCGTAGACCTATCGACTAGAATGTATGCGCATAAAAATCAGCTTTAAATACGCGGAACATAAAGCTTGCTTCTCCCCAACCTTAGATAAGCCCAAACTTCTTCTGACAAGGGTCAATGTTCTGGATCGAAGCATTACAACAAGTAATGAGCAAAGACCGAATTATCATTTGATGAGATGCCAGATAAGATCTCGGTCACGTGGTTATAAGTTGAGAGGCCATTCGTTGATAAAGTGTAGTGCTTTAAATATTGATTGCTCAAGAATCTTGCTTGATCATGTTTATTTAATTTTTTGACTACTATTTTATCTGTATCGGTATAAACTACACCGAAGTCTTCTTTTCTTTAATTGAGAGTAAGAAGAATAGATTTTTTACTATTTATCTGCAAGTCATTTGTTTTAATTTTTTTTTTTTTTGCAAGGATACATTGCCCAGTTTATTAAACATATGGGTGCCCTAGGGCATTTCTACAGGATTAGTACATTATTGGATTACATTTACATAGATTCTATTATTTTCTATATTTTTATCTATATTCTTGTAGCCCAATACTTCAATAAGTTGATATTTTAAACTTACAATAAATCTATTTTACTAAATACTCAAAATATCAGGTTTTCTATAATATATTGATGAAAGGAATTCTACTACCCCTATATATTATGTCTGAGTCATCATTATTGAAACTTGTTATACTGTATTTAAGTTTTTTAATTTAGGATTCCTTTCAATATTTTGTTTTATTAAGTATTTTTTTTATACTATTTATTATAGTATACCTATAAAATACTCATATAAAGTCTTAATATTGTCTTGTTCTATTGAACTATTCTTTTTATATAATCTATTACAACCTGTCCATGAAATAATCACATGAAGTCTTGAATAACTTATAATTTAATAAAAACTTATCTTCTAATTAATATACTGTATCTAGATATTATTAGATCTTTAATTTTTTCATTATACAGATTTTCAGCCTATTTGTTAAAACTTATAGAATCTTGTCAAAGATGAAATGTCTTCTAGCACTAAAGCTGATTAGAACCTCTTGTGATCTTTGGATATCTTATGATTGAATAGGTTTTAATCAAATATGATTAAATCATAATTATAAAATAAATAAAATCTTTTTATATTATCTAAATTGAAATAGTAATATTTTGCAATAATATTAAACTCAGAAATAGTACTTAATAATTTAGGAGTATTACTATTATATTATTATAAAAATAAAAAAGGTTCTTGAAAAAGAGTTTCTAAATTTAAATTTTTGAAATCAAAATATGTTTTCTATAACTATAAATTATTAAATAAAAAATATAAAAAACAAAGTTTGCATTATACAAATTTATATTCTTTTAGATAAGAAAAGAAGTCAAAAAATGTAAAAACATGTGACAAGCTTCATTAAAGAAAAGCATAAAAGTAACTTTCATATAATAGTAATGGGAGATTTCAATATAACATACAATTCAGCTGAAGATAAAATATCATTCTCTAAAGTAAGCTTTAAATCCTCCTAGCAATCAGAAATTCTACTATTTAATATATTGGATGAGTAGAAATTTATAAATATATAAGCAATATGAAAAGGAAAGAATAAAACTTTAATATGAAAAGATATAACAAGTAGCAACTATATAAACTATATTTGGATGTCACAAAGCTTAATAAGATATCTTATTCTATAGTTTGATAATTAAAGTATGGAAGAAATTACAGATAGTGATCATATTAAACTTGTAATAATACTATATAATATAGGTCTCTTCAAAAGAAATACAGTAAAAGTAGCTAAAATAAAGCCTGTCAAAAGAATTAATATAAAGGAATCAATATCAAAATAGTGAAAAATATTTAGTGATAACATAATGTATAAGCTTAATATAAAACTGGATCCATTATTATAAATAGAGTCAAAAGGCTAAAAAGAATAGAAGTAGATAATGAATCAACATTGGACACACAAACAGATGGTGAATCAACAGATTCTATTTCTACTTTGCCAAACTATCATAATTTCAGAAATCAGAGATGAACTAGATATAATAGTAACAATAGAATAGAACGAGGAAAGAACAAAAGAAGAGAACACCCTGCAACAGGAAGCAATAGAGAACCAATCAGAAATCAACGAAGCAATAGACATAATTTCCTTGAAAATAAAGAGAGACCTGAAACAGAAAGCTCTCAAGATCCCTTCAAGAGTATTTTAGCCAACCTTGAAAGATTACATGCCAGAATAGATACTTTAGAGGGACAAACAACTGTCAGAAGACCAAGATCAAGTAATAGAGGAGCAAACCACTCCTAAAAGGTGCACCAGTTGTTCAAGATAATAAGAGGGAAAACGAGCCCAGTTTATCCCTGGTAGAAACTTCAAAAAAGGGCCAACACCAATAAAAAGAGCACAACAGGGTACAATTAGATATTTCAGACCTAGGAAAATTTTTACAACATGAAAAAATCAACTTTCTGAACAAAAAAGAGAACGGAAAAGAAAAACAAAGTAATAATAGAGAAAATGAAAATGATATTGAAAAAAGGGTAATAAGAATAGGTATATACAATATTCGGGATATCACTAACACAATGAATCAACATAGCCTTATAGAAGATATAATTGAACAAGGTATAGGGGTAATAGGATTGTGTGAGATCAAGCTAACACACAGTAATGCAAAATGGGCTTTCAATAATCAGAAAGAATACAAACACTTCTATAGTATTAATAAAGATACCACATATGGTGCAGGAGTAAGCCTATTAATAAGAAAAAATCTCGAAAAACAAGTAGCATCAGTTGAGGAGGCAGATGGTTGCATGATCACCATTAACATGCTGACAAAGAAGAACAAAATCTGTATTATATAGATTTATATTCCATCAGATAGACATAGACGTAAGAAAGTATAGGACAATTTAATAAGTCATATTAGGAGAAAACATGGGCAAGGTTTTCACATAATCTTAATAGGTGACTTTAACGTAGCATATAACCCATCAGAGGATAGAACATCCTCATTCAGGACATGTTTCAGACCCTCATGGTAACCCGAAATTCCTTTATTTAACTTTTTTGATAAATGGGGTTTTTTAAATATACAGGCAATATGGGAAGGAAAAGACAAAACTCCTACAAGGCAAGATGCCACAAGCAGTAGTAGAATAGATTTTATTTGGATGTCACAGAGCTTGGCAAAATATACAATCATACGATTCGACAATCAAGACATGAAAGAAATTACCCGAAATGATCATACTATGCTTTTGGTAACCCTACACAATAATAATCTATTCACAATAAACAGGACCAGCAAACACTGCACAACATCCAAAATACAAAGAATTGACCTAAAAGAAACATTCTCGGAACAATGGTAAGCTTTCCAAAAAAGCCTGAACTATAAACTTAAAATGTTCTTGGAACCCATACTCAATGAAGAATCAGATGAGGATGAAAGAGAACCACTAGCAAATAAAATCTGGAAAACCTTCGAGGATCTAATTTGTAGAGCGGCTTTCACCAAATTAGAAACCAAAAAAC